AGATCCTTCTAGGCAGAGCCTAGGTAGGGGAAATACAGACGTGCCCGGCCGCTGGAATGTTTTTTTGTCCTCTGAGAGCACTGCCCTGTAGCGAAAGGACCTAGCAGCTGCGATCGCCACAAGGCGCGTTGACACCGCCATGCCCGCTCTCACCACACATGATGATGCAGCAACCTACACATGCACCAGATCGCCTGTGTACATCACAATGCATGGGTGCATGGCAGCCTGTGCACAACATGATGCGCGCGCACACCACAGCAGCCTCGCGCAGGGCGGTCTCTGGCACCTGTGTGCTCCACATTCTATATGTGCACCATCGAGCCCGCGTGCACTTCGAGGATCCCGACAAGGCCCATAAACCGAAACTCGCGCTCGTGGGGGGGTTGGGCGCGAATGAGTCACATTGAATCTGCAATGTTTACTGACTTTTTGGCCACCTGGAGACCACTCTGGCAAGTTTTCGAGCTACGCGCGGCCGCTGTGACGAAGATTCCTCCAGAGGGGGAGGACCATTGGCGCCTTGAGTTCAGTTGTGCCGCGGTTTCGTCCGAGAGGGCTCTGTCCCAAGAGGCTCCCAAGAGGACTCCGACGCGGCTGAAGAAAGGCACCAGGACGGCCGAAGAGACGCCCAAGACTGCCGAGGGGATCCCAAGAGGGGGAACACAAAGTGACAGTTCGAGCCTTCCGCCCTAAGACGCCCCCAGGAGACCCCAGAAGGCGCCCAAGAAGCCCCCTAAGAGGTCCAAAATCAACCCAAGAGCGTGCCCAAGAGGGCCCCAAGAGGCTCGAATCCTTCCCTTCCCCTCATAGCTCCCTGCAACTGTCTGTCGTCCTCCTCGTCCTCCTCGACCTCGACCTCGTCCTCCTCCTCCTCCGCCTCCTCTTCCTATCCCCCCTCCTCCTGACGCCAAGGGTCGGCGGCACCAGCCGTAAATCCTCCCTAATAAACTCGTCGTGGCGGGGTCACGGGGTGGTCACTGCGCCGTGGTCGGCGCGGTGGTAGTACAGGAATTGTTCCAAGAAGTTGCGGCTCACCACAGTCACCACAGTCACCGAACATTTGAACAATGAAATCTGCTTGCGCCGAAAACGCCACACACACACACGCACTGTTCAGGGGCCCGCGCTGGCACATAGGTGATCGCACGCGCCGAACGTCGTGGAATCGGACGGCCATGCCTTGCCTTGCACCCTTCAGAGCCAAGTCGGACAACATTGCAGGAAGATCCCTCGGACATGACATCACGGCTCGCTTGATAAACATGCGGGTGGCCGGCGCGCCTAGCCGCACGACGTATGATGGCCGAGCGTTGGAAAGACTCGCGGCCACCTGTTCGTGCAGCTCTCGCTTTGGCCACCCCAGTGCCCAGCTCTGACGGCGCCCAAATCCGGCAAGAATTTTTGTTGTTATTCTTGGCAATGGGCGTTGCACAGGGGGGGGGTCGAATCTGAGAGGGGTGTTCAGGATGTATAGGGTTTTACCTGACACCCCGCGCTATGTAACGTCCACACGAATGCACCCCTGACCTCCAGTTGCCTGATGGCGTCAAAGTCGAACAAGCCTTGGCCAGCCCGAATGTGTCAAGTTCAGTGGCCGCGGAAACGGCTCCTACCACCGCATAGCAGTATCTGTGTGTACCACAATGCCAGACACCACCATGCCAGTGTGCACTACAGCTGCCTCCGCAGCTGGCGCGCACGCGCTATGCACACCGAATTTGTGTTTCTTCCATTGCTGAGTGCGCCGCGCCGCCCCTGCGCGGGTGCCACAACAGCCTGCGCGCGCCACGCGCCTTCGCATACTCCAAGCGCGTGCCTGCGCACACTGCAAACACGTTGCGCGCGCACTGCGAACAGCAGACCCGTGCGGTAAGCAACAGGCGCTGTTGCAACGGGGATGGGTGGGGCGGCGGGCGTTTTGTCATCCACTGGGTGGGCGGGTGGGTTGGAGGCCACACGACGCGCGTTATGTGCTCGAGTAACAAAGAGGCTGCAGCTCCTGTCGTGTCTCTGTATCTACTGCGGGTCATCCCGGCCTCGGCCAGGCTGGGCGTGTCACCATGCCGGGGCCCAGGCGCGCCATGGAGATGGGTTTAAGTCGGGCATGTCCCCCTACAGGAGGATTTTGTACGAAAATTCAAAAATACGCAAAAAATAATCAAACATGATCCAAAAATATTCAAAACATCGTCCCCATCTTATTTTCTTAACTCTTTTTGGGTCCCAGGGCTCCTCGGCCCCGCCCCCCAGAATGGGACGACTGGGAGGGGAGCGCAGGCCGGCGTTGGGATCCAGTGAGGCATCAGGGCACCATGGCAGCAAGACGTGAATGTAGCATGCCACGAGCGCACAGACGCATGACTGGAAGAAGAAAAAAAAACATAAACATAAACTTTTGGCGCTCCGCGGGGATTTCTTGGATCCGCGCTGGGCCCCCCCCCTGGCGGCGCCTCCGGCGCCGCCCCTGGCGCGCTCCGCGCGCCAGGGAGGGGGGGTCCAGCGCGGATCCAAGAAATCCGCGCGGAGCGCCAAAAGTTTATGTTTCCGTGCTTTTTCCTTTCGAATGACCCATCTTACCATCCACACAGTATGAATCATTAGCAACTCGATGCATCAATCCATAACTTCCTACCGAGGCATCAGGGCAAGGTGCGTCACGACATCGAGACATCAGTGCATCAAGGCGTCATCACAAGAACACATGCATGCATCAAGACACGCCTAGCCTCTCCCCACTCCCCTCGCTTCCCCTCGTCTCGCCACCCCATCCGTCCTCCTCCTCCTCCCCCTCCTCCTCCTCCGCCTCCTCCTCCTCATTGGGCACGCTCGGCCTCCTCCCCCTCCTCCTCCACCACCCTGCTGGTCCCCACCACACACGCGACACACCACGCCACGCCAGCGGGGGGGGATGGGGGGACGCAGAGGCGCCAAGTCGAGCCCCTTCCCTTCCTGCCCCCCGGCGGACCACACCCACAGGGGGGGTTGGGACACGACAACACCACACCCTGGGTGTGTGTGTGGGGGGGGGGGAGGGGGCGAGCCCACGACAGACGGCCAAGCCGCGTCACAAGGACGAGTCAAGCTCCACGGGTGCCCTCGCATCCTCGACCGTCGGTCCTTCTTGGGGTCCTCAGTCGTGGACGCCATGGGCTTCCAGCCTCGGCTCCTGCGCGGGGACGCGCGTCCCTGTGACCCGGTCGCGCTGCAGCTCGGGAAGAGCAGGAGGGGAGGCCGGGCGGGGCCGGGAGCGCCGTGACTCGCTCCAGACGCAGGGATCCGAGGCTCCGATTTTTCTCCAATCTGGCGCCCCGTTCCTGGATTTCAGCCTCCAGGGCCTGTGGACGGGCTCGGGGGCCGTCAGAAATGGCTCCGGGACGAGAAACCACCCCCATGGGGAAGGGGTCGGGACCTCTGTGGCCGCGGAGGGAAAAAAGTCGGATCGGCGAATGTCTCTCCTCCTCCCTCCTCCCTCCTCCCTCCCTCCTCCTCCTCCTCCTCCTCCTCCTCCTCCTCCTCCTCCTCCTCCTCCTCCTCCTCCTCCTCCTCCTCCTCCTCCTCCTCCTGGGAAGCTTTCCCGCGCGCTCTCCGAGCGCTCTGGAGCGCTCCGGAGCGGCCCCGCGGCGCCCGAGGCACCGCCCAGAGCCGCCAGAGCTCAGAGAGGAGCTGTCCCAGCCCGATGTTGTCTTGGTCCTGGCCTCGTCTCAGTACAGTCAATGCGCATAGTAAGGACGCGCGCCTTTTCTGAGGTACCCTTGCGTCCTTGCCACTGCGGCCCGTCCTTTGCCGTTTTCACTGGTCGCCCGTCTCCCAAAAATCCCCAACCTCGGCCTCCGAGGGTCTTGCGTCCTTGCCACCCATCCTTAAGATACGTTTTCACTGTATAGGGGGGGAACGTAAGACTCGGGTAAGCCAGAACTCGCGTCAAATTTCAGACTGGGCCTCGTCGTTTTTGTGGTGGCGCCGTCCGGCCAACCCGAGTCCCCCGTAATTACCCGAGTCTTGCGTCTCCCCGGCAAGGGGGGCTTGGGCCCGGGATCTCCCCTGCACGATCTCTTTCTGGCTCCGTTCGTGGGGATGATGCGTGCCAGCTTCCCAGGGGTCCGAGGATGTGATGCTTCCAATCCGGCGGTGTTTCCTAGATGTCCGCCTCCCGGGCCCGTGATCGGGTCCGGGCACCATCAGACAGGGATCCAGGACGAGAAACCACCCCCAGGGAAGGGGCCTGGACCTTTGGGGCCGCGGATCGACAAAATCATATCGGCGGATATTTGTGCCTCCATTGCAGCGACCCGTGATCACATGAACCCGAGGACGCACGCCAACGATTCCCACAGTCGCAACCGTGGCAGCCGCGGAGACGCGTTGCAGCCCCAACGCCCAGGGAGCCCGCCCGCGTCTATCGGCCAGGGGATCGCCCGAGCTGCCCCGAGACGCACGCTTCGAAGCGCAACACGTGCCGTGCTCCGTAGCTCCGTGCCAACACGCTGCGTGTCGGCCCACGCTGGCCCACGCCTGGGCGAACGCGCCGCGCCAGACCCGGCCTGCAGCCCACGTGCTGAGCTCCGCGTCGACACTCCGCCGGCTGCCCGTTGCGCATCGGGGCGGCTATACGCCGGGATCACAGACGGTCCCCCTTGGCCTTGGCATCCCCGGGCCGGTGGCCGCGCTCCCCCCCCCCGGGGCCGCGCCGCGGCAGACGAAGGACACGCCAGCTGTTATAGCTTGGAGCGGCATTGCTGTGGCACCGCCTGCTGCGCGGCAGCGTCGGGCCTCTGAGAGCACGAGGGGGCGCAGCCAGATCTCTGTGACGACTGACAGTCGGTGCCCGATGCCCCCTGCGCGTCCCCGGGCCCGTGCCCTCCCTCCCCACCTGCGCCCGCGCGGCACGCCCTCCCGCGCGGTGCCGCCGCGCCCGGCGGCCACCTCGGCGCGCCCGCCGCCGCGGCGGCGGCGGCGGCGGCCGCGGGCGCCGCGGCGGCGCGCCGCCGCGGCGGCGGCCGCGGGCGCGGGGCGCGGCGGCGCGCCTTCCCGCTGCCGCGGTCGGCGGAGGTTCGGGACGACCGACAGGGGTGCGGAAAGGACGGGCACGAAGACCGACAGCAGCGCCCGTGCACTCGGAAGAGGCCTCGCTGTCGGTGCCGCCGCGGGCGTTGCCCACTCGAGACGGCAGGCCGCCTGCGCAGCAGCGGCCACTGTCGGTTTGGGACGATATTCGCTGTTGGACATCGTACCTATTTTTGTCCGTCGCCATTTCGGGCGTCCAAGAAGGTGGGCGCGGGCCGTTGGGGCCGCTTGCGCCTCTTCCTGGACACGGCGGAGGATCGGTACGGTCGGAATATACACCCATGATGTCGCCATAAATGGGCGCTGAGGAAGGAGCGAAGGGTTTTTTGTATGGCCTTCTGGCCACGGCGAGCCTCGGCTTTGGACATGTTCCCCGGCCTCGCTCTGAGGAGCCGCCCGAAAACAAGAGCCCTCCTGAGCCCGAAGTGGTCCTTCTTTCAGCGTCTGGACGGTATGTTTAAGTCGGGCCTGTCAGGAATATTCAAAAATAGTAAAACAAATAGTCTGGGGACTATTTTTCGCTTGTTTTGACGATGTTGGGCTATTTTGGACTATTTTTAATGTGTTTCTTCGAAAACCGTCCTGTAGGGGGACAGGCCTGGTCATTCTGTCACACGCGGGGGCGCGAAGACAATCGCGCTTCGCGCGTCGCGGCCTGGGCCGAGTCAGCTGCCCTTCTCCGAGGCGGCTGTGCGGTGGCACGAGGGCGCGAAGGTACTTGCGCGTCGCGCACCGCGGGCCGCGATGCGCGAAGCTAGGTTGAAGTCGGGCCTGTCCCTCTACAGGAGGAAAATTCAAAAATGGTCAAAAATAGTCTGGGGACGATTTTGTGCATGTGTTTCTAGTGTTGATGTATTGTTTTACTATTTGTTTATTTTCCGTCCAAAATTCCCCTAGGAGGACAGGCCCGACTTCAAGCTAGGTGACCTAGGAAATGGGGACGACTACCAGCAGCAGTTCCAGTCCATTCTAACCAGGGTGCGTTGACGGTACCGCCGCGGGCGCTGTCCATTTGAGACCAGAGGTCGTTGGCCCAACAGCGGCCGCTGTCGGTTTTGGATCGTGCCCGCTGCTTCCGAACCACGTCGGGCGCGCCACGAGGAGTCGGAGTGGGAGAACTACTTGCCCCTGGGCTTCTTCCATGTCGAAGGAGACACCTAGGCACAAGCACACACTTTCGGAGGTCCGCGCGGACTTTTTGGACCAGCGCCCTGGGCCCCCCCCGTGCGCGTGGTGCGCGCAGCGCGGCCTCGGGCGGGCACCAGGGGCGCCGCCAGGGGGGAGGCCCGCGCCGGTCCAAGAGCCCCGCGCGGGCCCGCGAAGGTGTGGGCTCGTGCCGGTGCCTCTCGTCCTGCCCGTGGCGTCACGACGAACCCGGTGTTGCTGCAGAGGGCGGGCGTGCCGTGTTCGGTGGCGGCCCTGGCCAAGCTGCGGACCAAGGCGCTCGCGTACCCGGGCGTCCAGGATCGGGCTGACCGAGAGGGGGGGATAGGGAAAGGGGGGTTACGAAAGCTGCTGCACGCAGCTGGTTTCGGCCCCGCCGCCGGGCGCTGGGAGAATCAGCTACGTAAGCTGAGGCTCTACTCTACCCTTTGCTATCCCCCCCTTTTGTTCCCCCCGACAGGAGGTCATGTTCCAGGCCTGGGGAGATAGCGCGGACGCGCTGGTGAGCGTCGCTGGCCGGCTGCTCGAGCTGGACATAGGGAACAAACAATGGCATAAACATAATGATACCGGAGAGAAACCCCAATCCGATTTGTTTTAGGGTTATAGGACTACTGGGTTATAGGGCTATAAGGCTATGGGGCTACAGGGCTATAGGGCTATAGCGCTATAGCGCTATACGGCTATACGGCTATAGGGCTATACGGCTATGGGGCTATGTGGCTATGGGGCTATAGGGCTACAATGCTACAGGGCTACAGGGCTGTTGGGGATATTAGAGCTATAGGGCTATAGAGCTATTAGGGCTATTAGGGCTATTAGGGCTAGAGTGCTATAGGGCTATAGGGCTATAGGGCTATAGGGCTATAGGGCTATAGGGCTATAAGGCTATAGGGCTATAGGGCTGTAGCGCTATAGGGCTACCGGGCACCCGGGCACCTGGGCACCTGGGCATTTGGGCACCCGGGCACCTGGGCGCCGGGGCACACCCGGGCACTCGGGCACCCGGGCACCCGCGGCCACCGAAGTCGGCGACGTAGCTCACCTGAATCCGCTAGGACCCCTACAGAGGCGCTTGACACCCCTCCCTGGCGCGCGGAGCGCGCCAGGGGCGGCGCCAGATGCGCCGCCAGGGGATCCATCGCTGATCCGAGAAATCCACGCGGACCTCCGAGCTTTTGTCTTCATGTCATTGCTCGCCCCCCCAGGACAGCCTCGCCCTCCAGGCGAAGGGCGAGTCCGCCCCGCTCTTCTGCGGCTCGGTGGTGGTGAAGCTCCCCCTGACGCGGGACGGCATGCGCGCCGCGGCTCAGCTGCGCCGGCGGCACACCCAGGAGAGCGTTTTTTCGGCGTCGCCTGGGAGCGTGTGCAAGAGCACGGCTGGTTTTAGGTCGGGCATGTCCCTCTACAGGAGGAAAATCCAAAAATAGCCCAAAAATTGTTAGGGTACGATGTTTCGACTATTTCTTATTATCCTTTTCTTGACTGCTTTTTATTTTACGTCCAAATCCGCCTGTCGGAGACAGAAGGCTAGTTCCCACACGGCGCCGGCGCGAGTCGTGACATGACGCGGGGGGGGTGGCGGGGCCGGTAACGGGCATTGTCGCGAGTAAGAGTTCAGACATCAGTTCCAGGCCAGGGTGTGCATGACCACCTGCTACTCCGCGCAGCAGGCCCTCGTCGCCTCAGGCCTGGGGGCGGAGTACATCGCCCCCTACCTGGGGCGCATGAGCGACCTGGGCATGCACGCCGCGCTCGGTGGTCCCGCCGCGCCCGCGACGCGCGTGCTCGTCGCGTCCATCCGCTCCGTGGACCACATGATGGCCCTCGCCTGCCGAGGCCTCGACACCTTCCTCGAGGAACAGGCAGTGACCTGAACACACGCTGCCAGAGGTCCGCGTGGACTTCTTGGATCGGCGCCGGACCCCCCCCCCTTCCCTGGCGCGCGGGCCGCGCCCCCGGGGGCAGCCAGGGGCGGCGCGATCTGAGAACTGCGCGCAGAGCCCCGGGGGCAGCCAGGGGCGGCGCGATCTGAGAACTGCGCGCAGAGCTCCGGAAGCTGCGTGTTCTGGGCCACCGTCTGCTCCCCGGCCTCACGTTCTCGCCCGCCGTGGCGCAGGAGCTGCTGAGCGTGGCGGCCACCGAGGGCGCCGCGGCGGAGTTCGAGCGCGCCGCGCAGGCGGGGCGCCCCGATGCCCCGCGCCCCGAGGGCGACGCCTGACGAGGACCGAGGGAGCAAAGGCGGCACAAGCTGGGAGGGGCAAGAAGCCGTGATGACGATACTCCAGATTTCGTCATAAAGGGAGGGGGGTCTCATTTCGGGGGGGGTCTCTTCCAGGCTATCTTGGAGGGCCTGGGGGGGTCTGGGGACATGTTTTGGAGGGTTCTCCCACGGGGGGGGTCTAAAACTTCTCGTCTGGGAGGGTTGAGACCCCCTCCCTTTTATTACGAAATCTGGAGTACTCGTGCTTCTGATGTTCCAGCCCACCTTGGCCTTGATCGCCACCGGGAATTTCGAGCATTGGGAAGAACCGAAACTGGAGGGTGTTCACGTGTCGGGCTCTGGGAGGCGACGTTCGCTCGACACTGCGCTAGCGTTCTTCTGGGTGCTCGAAATTAGTTCTTGAGGTTGGTTCTTAAGTACGATGGGAACACACATAAACCTATACGACCACCCTTCGGGTGATAAGGAGGTTGGGGGATGGGGGGGAAGAACCAACTGCTGGCAAACGCGATGGGCGTGACGATGACGATGCTGGTGGCGCGCCCTCGAGTTAGCGACGACGTGTTGTGACGACGTTGCGCTGCGATGTAATGTCGGAGAGACATGAAGTCATGATAACGATACGTTCGCACACGTCCAGGACTTCATAGATTTGCGGGATTTCAGGTTGCTCCGCACGGGCTCCAGAAGCGAGGGCCGTCGGGTACTCAAGAAATCCCCTGAACGCATCCTGAGCGAAGCGCATCACACCATGATTCTCGCCCTGTGCGCATACGCTTCCGAAGGACCGCGCGGATTCCTCCTCCTGGCGGCAGCTCCAGCGCCGCAGCCGCTGGCGCCGCCCCCCCGCCGAGATCGTGCGCTGGGGAAGGGCCGGCATCGGAGGGGACGATTGGGGACGAACAGCCCAGGGGCGGGCATTGCACGCAGTCGCCCAGGAGCCTCGCCGAAGGCATGGACCCTCGGCGCCCCTCGACGACAGATGTATATTGCTCCCCCCGCCCCCCCGAGCTCTGCGACACCAGCGCCGCCCTCGGGTGCAGCGCCGATCGGGGAAGGCCGCGTGGAGCTCCGAGAGTGAAGTCGGACCATGTTTAGCCTGTCTGAGGCATACGAATTTCAACATGTCTGGACTGTTTTTAAAGTTTTTGTTCCGCAGCCCGCCTGTAGTGGGACGCGCCCCGCCCAAGCCGAGAGCTGCTGTGCTCCTGCCGCTCCGCCTCGAGGAGTGAGCGAGGGGGCAGGAGCATCGCAGGGCACGGAGCGGGCGACCCCTGACGCGGGCCGCGCGGGCGAGGCTGCCCTCGGCAGCGTGCGCGCAGCGTGCGCGAGGCGGGCTCCCGCACGCCCCGTCCGGCCGCAGGCTGTGGGAGGTGCGGCCTTTGAAGCCGAAGAGAACAGAGAACGGCACACGTGGACGACGACGACGAGCTCGGCACGCGGATTTCGGCCAGAACGACTGCGACGACGACGACGACGACGACGAGCTCGCCGTCGTCGTCGTCGTCGTCTCGGCCCCGCGGAGTTCTCGGGTCGGCGCTGGGC